TTCAATGTTTTTTTCTTTTTTTAGTTTTTGTAATTTCAGAGTTATTTCCAGGTGGCAAATGTGTATTTGTTATATTTGGTTTTTTGGCTTAATTACCATTTCTACTTTCATTGTATTGCTTTCAGAAAATATTGTTTAATAATATATCCACTTTGAATTTATTGAGACTTTTTTTGGGGGTGACATACTATTTGGTCAATTGCAGCATTTCATGAACACTTGAAGATTCCCCCCCTCCCCGGTCCACAGAGTTTAATATGAAAACTACCTTACTATGCTATATAGATCTTCTGTATCCTAATGACAATGTATTTATTGTATTTCATTTAGTTTTGCTTTATGAATGTTGATACTTTTCTATTTGATGAATAGGTATTCCTAGCTGTTATATCCTCATTGTAAGCACATCCTTTAAAAAATACTTTTTATTTTGAAAAAATTATAGATTCACAGGAAATTGGAAAAAACAAATGTCCTGGAAAAACGGGCAGGTCCTGTGTACCCTTCACCTAGCCTTCCCCAATGTAACATCTTACATGACTGTAGTTAAATATCACAGCAGGAAATTGACATTGGTTTAATTCACAGAGCCTATTCAGATTTTCCTAGTTTAACATACACTCACTTGTGTGTATGTATTTTGTATTTCTATGCATTTTTATCATATGTATAGCTTCATGTAACTTCCCTGCAATTCAGATCCAGAACTGTTCACAGAGTTTCTTTTTGCCACCCCTTTGTAATCATACCAGCTCTCTTCTGCCTGCCTCATTCCTAACCCCTACCACCCACTAATCTGTTTTCCATCTCTATAATTTTATTTCAAAAATGTTGTAAAATGGGATCACATAGTATGCAGTCTTTTGAAATTGGCTTTTTTAACTGAGCATATTCTTGAGATCCATCTAAGTTCTGAAGTGTATCATTAGTTACTTTTTTTTGCTGAATAGTATTCCATGGCATTAATGTAGCACAGCTTGCTTAGCCATACCCCTGTTGAAGGTCATTTGGATGATTTTCAGTTTTTGGCTTTAACAAATAAGGCTGCCATGAACATTTGTGAACAGTTTTTTCCTGAACATAAGTTTTTGTTTCTCTAGGGTATATGCCCATGAGTGTAATCTCTGAGGCACATTTAAATATATATTTATTTTAACAAGAAACTGCTAAACTTTTTTTCAGAGTAGGGGTACCATTTTACATTTCCACCAGTAATGTTTGAGTGATCTAGTTTCTCTGCATCCTTACCAGCATTTGGTATTACACTATTTTCTAATTTGACCATTCTGATAGGTGTCTAGTGATAGCTCATTGTGGTTTTAATTTATATTTCCCTGATGGCTAATAAGGTTGGACATCTTTTTATGTGTTTATTTGCTGTGTGTATCTTCTCTTGAGTGAAATGTCTGTTCATGTCTGCTTTCTAATTTTCCAATTGGATTGTTAGTCTTTTTGCTGTTGAGTTTTGAGAGTTCCTCATATACATAGAGACAGGTTCTTTGGTGGATATATGTTTTGCAAAGATTTTTTCCCAGTCTGTAGTTTGTCCTTGTATCCTCTTAATAGGGTTTTTTTGCAGAGCCAAATTTAGTATTTTAAAAATTTCCTTTTGTGTATTGTGCTTTTGTTGTCAAGAACCCCTCTGTAGATATAGGTCCTGAAGATTTTCTCGTTTGTTTTTGTCTATGCTTTTTCCTTCTAACATTCAAGTTCATAATCCATTTTGAGCTAATTTTTAATGTAAATATGAGGTTCACATTGAGATTCTTCCTTCCTTCCTTCCTTCCTCCTTGCCTCCCTGCCTCCCTGCCTGTGGATGCCCAGTTGCTTCAGCACCATTTTATCATTTATTGGAAAGAAACTGCGTCCTTTTTTTTCCAACCTGAACAGGCTGATGCAGAGTTCTTAGAATGTATTTTTGTTTACCTGAAAGAAACTGCATCATCTTAAATGCTATAAAATGACCTTTTTCTAGTTTAAAGTTTTTTGCAGAGGGGAGGGGGTTTTGCATTCAATCTTGTGGCATATTAAGATCACAACTCTTATTTTATTTATATTTGCCTAGTATTTTTTTCCCCATTGTTGTTTTTTCAACCTTCAAAAACAGTTTTCGATGTCAGTTTATTTTGTAGGGTTGGGGTTTTTTTATGATCCTGTCTGAAAGTCTATTTCTTTTGCTCTGGTGAGTTTAGCTCATTTACATTTTTGAGATAAAACATGTTGGTCTAAGTTTTGGAACATAATTCTGTATTTTGCTTTTGGTTTTTATAACTTAAAAAGAAAATCTTTAGTTATGTGGTATGTTTACTTTGGCCCAGTTATTTGTAAGAGGTTTATGTGAGAGTATAGAAGCATGCCTTCCTAGATTTCAGACTATCTAGAATTTTCCTTATGACCCAGGATTTAGTGTGTTAGTTTGTTCAGCTTTTATCTTTTTCCAGGTAGTAGGGTTAGAGAACTCTATATTTTTTCATAATATGAAACTTCTTTTCTTCACTGCTGCCACAGAAACAGAATATTCTTTGTAAATAGGGCATTTCTGAGTGATTTCTTTTTAATTCCTGCCTTTTCTGTTTCATTGTTGGAATCAAACTGAGGAGTTTCTGCCAGTAGCATATGTATCTTATTCTCATTGTAATAAACATGGGTTTTAGATTTTACATTTTGGGAAGTTTTATCTTCCTGCCTTTTAGTGAGATAAGCAGTTTTCCTTCCCTGCTTTTACTATTTTGAGTGCCTGCATCATCTCCATTGATTTTGGGAGACCTTCCACATATTTTGAGGGTTGGGTTTTAGCTTATCTTAATTTTATCAGAAAAAGAATTTCTCTTTTTGTCTTTGTCTTCTTGCTGTTTGAATGATTTCTAAGAAGAGAAAGGGATAATGGAGATTATGCCACCATTGTTAAAGTAAAAGTCAATAATAATATCTTTAATATTGTCACAAATATGTTGTTAAATTTTGATGATAGCAAAACCTTTGTTGGGATAACTAAAATATATATTCCTGAAATACTTTAATTCTTCCCTAAATCTTATTTTAAGGAATTCTTTATTTAAAAGAATTTCATTTAATTTAGCCTTAATAACTTACTCTGTTGTTCTACCTTTTAAAGTCTTGAAGACTCGACACTTGGAAATGTGTATTATTTGATAGCTCATTTTCTCCACCAGTAGTTCTGATAAAAACCAGAATAAGAATTTGTTGTCCACAAAGGGGGATTAGTGAGTTTTATTTTAAAGCAAGGAAGTGTATTTCCATTCTTGTAGTTTTTATGCTTTGACAATTATATGTGCTTTAAAAAAAGTGTCTGCCATTTAAGAAAATTTACTGATTTCCTCCAGAATTTTAGTCATCATCTCTGCAGTTTCTTCTCTTGTGTCCTCAGTTCTCTTTCCCTATACTTTTTTCCTAAATCATCTCTCTCTGCTTGCCACTGTTTCAGGGAGTTTGCAGTGGGGAAATATTACGGGACTTTTCTACTGCTGTAGGGTCTTTGAGGGTTATGAGCAGTGTCCTTAACCTTTTTCTTACCTCCTTTCCCTTGATAAGGACAATGCTCAGTATCTTTTTTTTTTTTCTCTTCTAGTGCTTAGGTGGTTGTCCATGTACCATGTAGGAATCTGGTGCTGGTTATTTTCATGTTTTCATATTATAATAGTAAATCATCACAATATAGAAAACAATGTATGAGTTATCTATTGCTGTGTAACAAATTGCCCCAGAACTTTGTAGCTTAAAAACAAGAAATGTTTATTATCTCTCACAATTCTTAAGGGGCAGGAATGTGGAAGCAGCTTAGTTGGATGGTTCTGGCTCAGGGTCTTTTTTCATATACAAATTGTAGTTAAGCTATTGGCTGGGGCTACCATCATCTCAAGTCTTAACTAATGCTGGAGAATTTACTTCTAATAAGCTCACACATGTAGTCGTTTGCAGGCCTCAGCTCCTCACTGGCTGTTTGCCAGAGACCTCTTTCTCTCCAAATGGGCTTTTCTGTAGAGTTTTCTGAATGTCCTCATGTCATACCAGTTGGCTTCTCTCACAGCAAGTAATCCAAGAGAGAGAAAGATAACAAGAGGAAGAGGAAGCCTGAGATGGAAGCTTCAGTCTTTTATAATCTAATTTTGAAGTAATATACTGTCACTTCTGCCATATGCCGTTGGTCACACTGACCAACACTGGTGAGACAGGACTATACAAATTTGTGAATACCAGGAGACAGGGTTCACTGGTGATAACCTTGCAGGCTGACTCCTAAGAATAGCAATGATATATTTCAGAGTGAAAAACTAATTTCATACTTATTATCTGAATTTATATTTAGATACAATGTATTTCTTTTATAAAATGATAATGTTTGTATACTTATTCTGCCGTGTTCTATGGAGAAAGGAATTTTGGTTTATTTACATTGAATTTAAGAGATGGTCTGGATAAGTTTTTGTTTTGGATCATTCTTTTATTTCTTTAAGAGTAAGGTTTTATTTTTTTCCAGATAGCTTATTCTGTTTAGTAGAAAAGATCCCTCTAATGTTAAATAACTGGGAAGGAGTAGCAGCTTACATTTGTATAATGCTCTTGATTTGTAAAACATGTTTTTCCCTAACACATAAGAATAGATAAATTTTTTGGAGTTGACGCTTACCTAGTAAAAAGGAATTTTATAATCTGTTCTTAATCTTTTGAGGGATTCATAGACCCCCTTTGAGAATGATAAAGGCAGTGGTCTCTCCAGAGAAATGCACTTTCTTACACAAAAGCAATTTTGCAATTTAGGGGGACCCTCAGGAGGTCTGTGGAGTTTAGATTGAGAACTCCTTTGAAAGCACAAGTGTATTTCTGGTGGCTTCTGAAAGAAAGGAGTGCTTTTCATTTTCAAAAAATAAAGGGAAACAGTATACCTAACTCTAATTGGAAATGTGTATTTTCATTTATATGGCTTCTAATTCATGCATCCTAATTATGGTTTTTGTTTCTGAATTTTGCTTCCTCTGTAGCATCTGGAGCATAAGAACAGTGCTTATTTTCTTCTTTTCCAAGAGAACAGAAAGAAATAGTAAGTTTAATTTCTAAATTTTTATAGATACATTTAAAAAAACCTGTCTTATGATACATTGGTTTGTAATTGAAATGAAAGATTGTGAAATGGTATATTGAAATGACAATATGGTAAATATTGAAGAGTTGTTTACTGTAAAGCATAAGAAGGATTATGAATGATCGAATTGCTTCTATTTTTCATTTATGTTATTTCTGTCATGCCTGTTTAGAATTTTTTTTTACACAAAACAATTTCTTTAAATGAAGAGAAATTATATTTATTAAATTATCTTTATAGAAAACGTATAGAGTAAAATATAGTGAAAATATAAACACAGTAGTACATTATTATACCTAAAAAGAATTCTTAAAATTGTAAAATATAAATAAAATGTACACACAACACTGCTACACAACACTATTTTATAGTTCCTTAGTAAAATCACTTTTTTCTCTTTGAGAGCATTGTTTGACATTGTATTTTTCCTCAAATCACGAATACCCACCACCATACCAAAACCAAGTCAAAGTAAAACCAACCAACCAGATGAAAATTCAGAAGCCACAAATAAACAAAACTTCACAAAATCTACCTGGCCACTCTTACCTGTTAGTCTCAGTTTATGAAGAAAATAAATATAAACAGGTGAGAGCTTCCTCCACCACCAGTTACATAAAGTTGACTCCATCTGTTAGTCAGTGTATTGTCATCTCTCATGGTAATTTGGAAGACTGACATTGATCCCACATATGGCTAAGCCTTCCATTTATGCACTGGATTCTAGATGCTCTGGCTATCTTAAGAACTTTGCTTTTGTAGATATCCCTACCTGCATCTCTTTTGCATTATCTTTTTGCATTGGATTGTTCCTACTGGCATATAATCCTGCCTCAGTACAGTCTTCTGGGTGAAAAATCCTATTCTTTTCTCCATATTCCCTTTAACCTACAATGCATTTCTCTCTCTCCTTAAAATTTCTCACATCTTTACCTCCAAAATTATTTTGAATATAACCACTTCTAATTTCCCGTACTACTACTACAATTCTAATTCAGGTCTTCATCATCTCTTGCTAACACTACTGCAATGGCTTCCGAATAAGTCTATTTCTAAGGTATAAATCAACTTATATCTCTTCTACTTAAATTCCTCTTGTGGCTTCCCATTGCAACCAGAATAAAATCTGAATTCTTACCCAACTTTCTGGCTTATGCCTTTTCCTCTAACTTCAGCTCTTTCTACTCTCCTTTTTTCACCTTTGCCCCAGCCACACTGGCCATCTTTTTGTCCTGCAAATAAGTTTAAGTTCTCTGAACCTCAGTTTCCTAGTTAATAGAATGAATACAGAAATATTTGTTTTGGCAGGACCGTTATGAATATTAAATGAAATTATATGTGAAAATGTATGAAAGTTGCAAAGTGGTAAACACATGTGGGCTGATACTACTGAATTTTCTTTTCCAATTCCTATTCTTTTTTTATTTTTCTTGCCTTTTACATTTTTCTTGCCTTACTTAATGGGTTAGGACTTAGTATAATACTGAATTGAAGTGGGAATCAGGAGATTTTGTTGGAAAACCTTTTAATTTTTACCTTTAAGTATGTTTGCTGTGGTTCTAGAAACTATTGATACTTTTAATCAGATTAGGGAAATTGAAATTATTGTATTGTTTCCAGTGATATTTAGTAATATAGTAGATGCTGGGAAGACAGTTTAAAACAAATATGCCCTCTGACTTCATGGAACTAACAAAATAGTAAAAAATATAAGAAACTATTTTAAAAGAGCCCTTGGAAACACTTCTCTAAGGAAAATGTGTGAGTAGTTTAACTTACAAGTAGGCACATCAGGACTTATTTATTACATAAAGGGTTTTTTTAAATTGGAGTATAGTTGGTTTACAATATATTAATTTCTCGTGTACAGCATAGGATTCACTTATACATACATAATATATATATATTCAATTTTCATTATAGGCTATTACAATATATTGAATATAGTTCCATGTGCTATACAGTGGGACTTTGTTATTTATAAAGGAGCTTTTTGCTTTAAAAATTTATTTCATGGATCCTTTCATTTTAAAAAAATTTTTACAAATTCATTTGAATAGCTATTGCATGTACATAAAATAGACTTCATTAGACATTGTCTTGCAGTCTTACACTTTTTTTAGCATATAAAGTTAGGTACCATATATGTATGTGTCTATATATGTATTTTTTTTTTTAAGCCTGAAGCTATTGGTTATGTCCTTGCTTTTTGTTCTCTGTTAGTTGTATTTACTTTGTCTTACAAGTTGGGCCTAATATACAGTAAGGTAAGGGTTGGCAAATTCCAGTCTGTGAGCCAAGTCCTGCCCACCACCTTATATAGCTTATGATCTAAGAATGGTTTTTACACTTTTAACATTGAAAAATTTCAAAAGAATAATATTTTGTGACATGTTAAATTTTATGAAGTTCAAATTTCTGTTTTATTGAAACACAGACATGCCCATTCATTTACATGTTGTCTATAGCTGTTTTCATTCTATAATGGTACAATTGAGTAGTTGTGACAGGCTGTATGGTATTCTCAACACTTCAGACTTTTGCAGGATGCACAACAAATCATAGTGACACAGTTATAAATTGACAGCATTTCAGGTGCCTTGTATATTGCTATATTGTGACAGTTTTATTTACTATTACCAGTACATGCTTATCATGTGAAAACAAGAAGGGAAAATTGGACTTCGAATGTTGCACTTTTAGAGCGCAATGGAGTGTGGACTATTTTATTACCAAATCATGAAGCATTGGGCTTATTGTGCAATGACATTATAAATGTACTAGAAGAATTCAAATATACATTGGCATTACTATGCTAAGTTCTCATCATGATATCCCCAACACACAGAAAAGGTATTGTCAGAAAAATTAGAACATTTAAAATGGAATATCTCATCATAGCAGAATTTCTCCATAAAAATAAAAAGTGAAAATGGAGCTTCAAGCAAAGTTAACTATCTGAGTGGCTTATTTGTGAAGCAAAGAAATACATTTATCAATGGTGAGTTAATTGTGTAATGGCAGCAGCTGAAGGAACGTGTTTAGAGAAAACATTGCTTGGCCATTAGCCTTTTTGGCAAGAACAATTGTTGAAGAGTTAAGAACATTGGAAGCAATATAGTTAATTTAAAAACAAGACAAATGATTTCAAGTGATTGTCACTGGCTTTTGTTGAGTTGACATGTTATTGATATCACTCAATTGTAGTTTTTTGAGGTGTCAATACTGAACTTGATGTGACTAAAGAATTAGCTTTTAGAAACAGTCTGTGTAGAACATTCTGGGAGAGAATATTTTCAAAGAAGTTGAGAAAACACTAATTCAGTACAACCTGAAGTGGAATCTGCTAAGATGTATTTACAACTATGTGGTAAGAGTATGTGTGAAACAGAAAAAGGCTTACTTGGATTAATTCAAAGCCCATGAAACTGTAAGTGTTATTATCCACTATGTTATTCAACAAGAGATACTTGCAGAGCATACTTGAACCTATCATGTGTTATTGAACTAGCAGTTTCAGTGGGGAAGTTCATTTGCTTTTATGGACTTTATCATCATCAGTTATGCCAACTTTTATCAGAAATAGAAGCGTAAAATCTTGACCTGCATGGCAGTTGGATGGATTAGTAGTAGTAAAGTTTTATTGTGATATTTTGAGTTCAGAGCCCAGATTGAAATGTTTCTGAGTGACAAGAACCACCTTCAGTCACTATGAATTGAACTGGTTTTAGAAATTAGCTTTTGCTGCAGACTTGATAATAGTTCTTAATGAATTTAATCTAAGATTACAAGACAAAACAGTCCTTATATGTGAAATCTATACTGTTGTAAAGTGATTTAGAAAAAAAATAATATTGTAATGACAAAAAGTAATTTTTCAAGAAGTGCTATGAAAAATTAAGAAGCAAGATCTCCATTAGACACACATTTGTAGCAAGTGCATTATCTGTGCTCAAACTACATTTCCAGTAGTGTTTTTCAGACCCCATGTAAATATGCAGGAAATTTCCAGGTTTCAACATCCGTTAAACTGGAAATGATTAATTTGCAGTGACATGATAAAAGGCAGATATCAAGAAAAGAGTCTAAAGAATTTTCTAAATGCTTTTTGTAAAATGAATAAGCTTAATTAAAATATGTGCTTGTGGATTGATTTCAATATTTAGCAGCACTTATCTGTGTGAAAAAAATTTTCAAAAATAAA